TTCCTTCCTTCCTTCCTTCCTTCTTTCCTTCCTCCCTTCCTCCCTCCCTCCCTCCCTTCCTTCCTTCAAGGCGCTTTCTTTTATTCTTGATTTTCGACATTATCATGTATCGTTTATTTTGTTATCTCAGGTCGCAATGAACCAGTATAAAGTTGTTCTAATTGGAGATGTTGGAGTAGGGAAAAGTTCTCTTCTACGAAAGTTGCGGTCTCTTCAGGTCCACCAAGAGTACAAGCCAACAGTTGGGGTTACATGTACCTACTTTAGCTTCCCAAATGATACCCAACTTTATGTCCTCGATGCCTCTGGATCTCCTACATATCGATATCTTACTCAGTTATACCTTCGAAGTCTTGATGCTCTCATATTTGTGTTCGCTTTAAATGACACAAACAGTCTGCAAAACCTCAAAGAATGGAACCAAACATTTACCAAAGTGTTCGAAGCAGATTCCAAAGAGGTTTCTAAGTATGTGCTTGGGACCAAATTAGACGTTCAAACCATCGAGCTTCAAAAGGAAGGCCAGGTTTTTGCAGAGAGTATCGGAGCTAAATTTCACATTGCATCTTCCGTAACTGGGATGAATGTAAAAGATTTTTTTTCACATGTCTCAGAACAACTTCTTCAGTATAAAAGCTCGGTGTTTGAGTCGCGGGACGAGTGTGACTCGAGCAAGTTGTCGCCGCTGCACGTTAAAGACGTGTTAATGGATGGAAGCATCTTGGGAAAGACGTTTCTGGATCCCATACTGCTGGATACATCAGGCGAGGAAGTTTCTTATGTGAAGGTAGAATACGAAGGAATTTCCTTTGTAAATAAGGATAAATCCTTTGCTTGGAGGCCGTCTCTAACCGACAGGTACATATTCCCACTGTTTACTCTGTTATTTCATTTTCGTATTTTAGAACTTGAGAACATCAAAAACCAAAGAGTTAGGGACCGGTCATTATTTAAGTCGGAGGGGGGAGGGGGTGAAGGAGAAAATAAGGTGCCCTCAATTTTTTTTAGTGGAACATGGGGGGCCTTCAAAGGTCAAAAGGGGGATTGGAGGATTGGGAGGATTTTTTTAAGCGATTGAAGGGGGGACCAGTCTCTTAGCCCTAGCAGTAGAGTCTACCTATATTTTGTTGTAAACGGCCTTAAAATCCAAAGATTTTTTTATTTTTATAATTTTTAAATGCAAAATGTAATATTTTCATAATGATTTGTGTGGGAAAATGCGGTAAATCGTAGGTATTATCAATTGCGCACTTTCCTGCGGCAAAGCTTGCACTCACATTAATGGAAAGTCTATTTTTCGCTGGCATACTTAGTTTTTTCTACGATTTTAAATATTTTGCAGTTGCTGTAGTTTCGTTGCGGATGACATGGCATCCCTAAAAACAACGGCCGTTCGTCCAAATTCACTCCTAAGAGCCATGGAAATTCAAGAACCTGTGAGTGTTTGGCAACATGGGTGGCTTGAAAACGTCTACGAAGTTGGYGCCGCCATAAGGAGGCAGCCCACAGTAACCGAGCTCAAAGGAATCCAGGACATGGTATTCTGCTCCCGTAAGTCAATAATCCGTCTGTCTGTGAATCTATCCATCCATCCGTCCATACATCTATTCATCCATCCATCCGCCAATCTTTCCATCCATCCATCCATCCATCCATCCATCCATCCACCCTTCCTTCATCCATCAATCCATCCAACTATCCATCCAAACATCCATCCATCTATTTTTTATTTAGAAGATATGTTTTCCAGCCAGATTGGTACTCAATCTTACAACTTAAGGCGTTCTTCTAAAAATTTACAAATTGCAAAAGCCAGAACTGACTATTTCAGAAATAGTTTTGCTTTTACTGGAGCCTGGCTTTGGAATTCTNCCATCCATCCGTCCATCCATCCATCCGTCCATCCATCCATCCGTCCATCCATTCCGATCCATACGTCCGCCCGTTCGCCATCATCCGTCCGTCTGTTCGCCATCCATCGGTCCGTCTATTCTCCATCCACTCATCCGTCCATCCTTCCACCCTCCTACTCATTTATTAAACCATAACATGAATGATGAATCATCTTTATTATACACTCCAGTCACATGCAAGTATATTCTCTTACGTGTAGTGGGTAGGGAGTTTTCAGATAGGATCCTGCGGTCATTTACCAAGTAGGAACCAAGTATTCTATTGTAATGAATTCCCATGCATTCAACATATCTTTTAAAAAATACATAACTAGAACAAATCCTTTTGCAGGGACTGAGAGTGGGCTGGAAAAAAAGAATGGCTTCTTCTACATGATCCAACTGACCGAAGACAACGATATTCTAGAAAGTGGTTTAAACTTTCCAAAACAACTGACAAATAAAAAGACAGAAATCGTTCAAAATCATTTTGTATCAAACCCAAAGCTAGTTAAGTTTCAAGATGAGATTAAAACATCATCCATTAGCCTGACAAACGGTGTGGCAGTGGTTGCCCTCCAAGATGGAACGGTACTTTACCTAGGTTGCAACCTCCTAGATGATGACTTCAAGGTGGACAGAAATCTTCCTAAGCATTTTGGGTTTGGTCAAACCCCGACGCCAGTTCGACTCAAAATAAAAGTCACTCAAGTAACATGTGGACTGGACTTTGTCCTGATGTTGGCAAAAGATGGCAACGTTTATTCTCATGGTTCTTCTGAATTTGGTTGCCTTGGACATGGGGACTTGAAGGAACAATCTAGACCAGAAGTGGTAAGTAAAAAAGTGGGTAACATTCCGTAGAGCCGCGTGAAAGACGTGCAGTATGGTACGCATGCGCAGATATGAGGATCAGTACAAGCGTTGACACCAAATGAACATTTATTTTTTAACTATTCTAAATTATCGGAAGACGTGTTGAAAGGCATGCATACCTAAACGTTTTTCTCCAGTGTAAGAGCAGTTTTCGTATGACTGTGCCGAAATCGTACTTCTAGGTGTAAACTGTGCACTTGTTATCGTTTCTGATAACACGAGTAGTGAGCAGTAGAGAGGTTTTTATATGATTGGGAAACGATATGGCAAATTTGTAAGGCTACTGTATCCGTACCGCGACAACATTGCGGTAGGTACGAGATGTGTTTGGATAAATTACTTGAAGACAAATGGATGCCATTTCAGCGTTACGGCGTGTCGTACCGTGTACGTGCTGTTTATCAAAGTGGTCCCGCTTGGAGTATCCGCACAGTAAATGCCTTCACTCTATTTCCCATTCATGTGAAAACTGCTAGGCTGGTTAGAAGATGTGCGTACCAACCATGAATTATGAACACTTCTTTAAAGATATCGTTATATTCCATATCTTTTTGTGATATTCAAAATATTAGATAAGAAGTCTAAAGTACATCAGCAGCATAGCAGCAGGGTATCACCACGCCCTGGCCTTGGACAGTTACGGAACGCTGTACTCCTGGGGCGTCAACGATGTTACAAAAAAAACTGTTTCCAAACCTGAATCAGTGTACGCAATGAGTGCCACTAAAGTCAGTTCCATAGCATGTGGGGCATTTCATTCTTTGTGTATTGGTGAAGGATATGCCTTGATGGGGAACTTCCGCAAGAGATCAGTCTTCTCTTGGGGACTAGGAACAAATGGAGCCTTGGGTCATCTTGTCAATCGAGACGTTCCTGAACCAAGGTAAGAATATATGTGTTTTGTGCAGAGCTGATAAATGGAGTATACTTGCTTACAAGCCTTCTAGTCTGGGCGTTGCAACTATCTTTTGGCCTTTTCCCATCCCTTTGGTCATCAAACCTCAATCTCTAAACCAAGTTGCGCGTTGCGTGCGTTCGTCCACTGTATTGTTGTAAATCCAGTTGCTCAGTTGCATGCGTTCGTCCACTATATTGTGGTAAATTCAATTGCTCAGTTGCATGCGTTCGTCCACTATATTGTGGTAAATCCAATTGCTCAGTTGCATGCGTTCGTCCACTATATTGTGGTAAATCCAATTGCTCAGTTGCGTGCGTTCGTCCACTATATTGTGGTAAATCCAATTGCTCAGTTGCGTGCGT